GATTGAGCCTTGAGGTCAAAGTCAATTTATATTGACTTTTCTATGTAAGGATAGAAAGGATTATGTGTAGGTGGTCATCTCATGGCCATGATAGAGAGTAGACAAGTTACTCTATAATGAATGTAGAACTTTTAATTCCAATTAGTCAAGTAAGATGTGTAAATGGTGTAATTTAACAGTGACCTAAACATAGAAATAGTTTTTGATCTTATATATATTTAATTAACTTCAGAAATAGGCCATGAGCAACTGATTAATGTAGGTGATAGACAGATGTACTGTTACTGGGAGAAGAAAGGAAAGAACTTTTAATTCAGAATTGCAATGTCCCCATGACTTTTTGACAGAACTTTAAAGGGCTCATATTTACTTTTTGATTTATGTTATAATGTTGTTTCCTCATTAAACATACCCAGTGTTTTGTTTTGCTTCATTCACACTTGTTTAAGACCCAAACCCTGTGTATTTAGGGTGAGTTCTTCTCTAAAACAACAAAAAAACAACACTCTGTAAGGTCATGTGGTAATACAGGATGTGCTCCAGTGTGTTTTTAAATGCCATATACCTTCACTCGAATCATTTGGATGATTTCAGCCCTGGAACTGCCTATCTCTACTGAAATAATGATTACAAGGTACAGACCATTTTGAGCTTTGGAGATGTAGATAGACTAGGATTACTCGAATATGTGTGAATGAAAACGCTGGATATTTTTGATGAGGTAACAATGTTCTAACACGTTTAAAGCTCACAAGAGTCAATTTTGCGCTATATAGGACCTTTAATGTGTGAAATGTAGTATGTAGTGTGTAGTATGTAGTATGTAGTATGTAGTATGGGAGACTGAATGTACCTCTGCAGAGCCTGTGTTCATGCTTTGTGAATGTGAGAGCTGTTGTTTGGGTCTATTAGTTGCTCAAATACCTGAAGGCGAAACACCATCCTCCGTGCTTCATGCATCTCCTTCTCCAGCTGCTCCTGGTGGGCATCCAGCTGCTCCACCCAGGACCTATCCCCCTCCTGACCCCCCTCCTGCCCCTCCTGCCCCAGGGATGGGCACAAGCCACAGAGCAGCACCTCCTCTGAAATAGAAGCAGACACACCAGGGAATGAAAGAGGGTATTTATGCAGATATAATTAGTTCCATGTTACTGCTGTGGAAATGTTATGTGTATTATTGTTTATATGAAAACTCCTGATTACATGCACCAAATAGGCATAATATAAATATGAATTAAATAGTATTAACGCATTTGTTAGTGATTTCTGTTAGGCAAGTAAACATTTAGTTCTCAATATCAACCATTTCATTTCAGTAAAGGTCCAAAACACACAAAATTATTTTTTGTGAGTTTTAAGACATGTTATAATGTCTCATTAAAAAACATACCTGGAGTTGTGTTTTGTTACATTCAAACATGTTTGAGCGATCCTTTATTATTAGGTTATCTACAGCTAGAAAGCTTATCTCTTCCACTATGTGATGTCACAAAGCAGTCGTTTTCAAATTAAGAGTTACCTTTTAACTTTAGTGCAGTAGAGATTGGCACTTCCTGGGCTGAAATCATCCAAATGAAGGTGTAAGGAGTTTAAAAACACAGTGGAGCACTTCGTGTATTACCACGTGACATGACAAGTGTTTTCTGTTTGAGAGAATAACTCAATATGCAGGGTTTTTTAGTTAAACATGTGTGACTCAAACAAAACACAACTCCAGGTAAGTTTGCGATGAGGAAACAACAGTATAACATCTCAGAAAATCGTGCCATATGGGTCCTTTAATGAAAATTACATCATGCCCACCGTCCCTCTTCCAATATGATTCTTTTAACACTGTAAGCCTGGAGTTCACCCTTTGCCTTTAGTAGTAATCTGCAGTGTGTATTCTGTACTGGGTTATGGGTCCCAACCTGCAGCCGACTTCTTCTCTGTAACTCCTGATTGGTCCTCGTGATATTCTCCTTGGACCTTGGAGAGATCATTGGCTGTTTCGTCTTTCGATCCATCTGTGGTTTGGGTGATAACATACTCCTCTTTAGGAGAGTGTGCAGGGCTGGCTGAGGAGAGGCTGAAACAGATGGCGTGTACAAGCAGCAGTGAGTTCATTTGCATTTCGTGCCTGATGATATGACATAAATAGACCAAGGTACATGAAAAAGAAATACAGAAATAATCCCCTATGGTGCCACACAAAAATAGTGTCTTACACAACTTGGACAAAAAATTGAAGCCTTATTTCTTTCATTTACGTTTGAACAATTTCTAAATATAACATTAATATTAAGATACTGCTTCGAAAACCACAGTCCAAGAAGGAATGCGTGCAACTCTGTCATGTTTCACACAGGAAATTCTTGACATAGTTCACTCCCCCTTTGGCTATAATTTCAAAACATTATGCAGTACACTTTGTGAATGGCTTGTGTAGCTTGTGTTTTGTGAGTTCAGAAAAAAGCCCCCCCAGCAGCTGTCATCTCCACTTGGTTTTGTTTAAAGAAAGACAGTATGCCCAGTGCCTTAAAGCATTATTCTATTTTAGAGGGAAAAGTCCATTATAGTTTGATTTCTAAATGGAAAACAAGTCAATGTGAAGGGTGGAACAGCAAATCATATCCTTGGTCTTCAAGCTACAAATACATGAGTGGTAAGTATGCGTCTGAGGCTAAGTTTAGACAGCCTTGAAATCTCTGCTGGCCGGGGCATTTGAACGGTTTAACATGTCGTGACCAAACATATGCAGTGAGATCCAGATGTGGAGCAATAGGATTTTCAACTTATCCAAAGGCTCTAGTCTGCAAAAGCTAAAAACAGCTCATGCCTACAGATGTACTATGTTATTTTTGCTGATCTTGCATTTTTAACAGTTCATAAATAAATGTCTGTGAAATAAAAAATAAACAGAAATCCAAATTTAGATCTAAGAAGCCTCCTGCAGGATGTTCTTGCTGTCTTTTCAACAAGATTAATTCCAGTGGGTCATGTAAAAACAAGACGTGAGCATCTTATCTCCCGCTGCATTGATTCTTCCTTAGTGTTTGTCTAAAGGGGATCAAAGCCAACAACTAATCTTGCCATTGCAGACGATGACATTTTCAAGATAGTCTCAGGCTTCAACTCAATAAATGTGTACTGTTGATGTTACACACTTATCTGTAACGCCAGTACAACATACTGCAATCCGTACAGACTTGAGGAATAACAAGTGGAATGTGCAGAATTGTATTATTATTATTATCATTATTAACATTTAATAATCAAAATGATAATGATAAGTATTGTGGTTGAATGAGTAAATACTGGAATATTGGATGGAGTTCTGTTTTAATAAAGCAATAATTTATTTAATGTAATTCTTGGATAAAATGGATGATCTGCTACAGGAAGTTGGCCGTTGCTAGGCAATAGCAGCCTTGAGCTTGCACAGAAACATGCAGGGACACACCCACACCTCCTGCTCTGAACACTGAACAATAAGCTTTGAGCATTAACGTCATGTTGTCATGGGGAATGCACCTTTATCACAGAGACAGCACCTGCTGATTAAAATGATCTGCTGCCAGGCCTATTACATGTGGCACTCTGTATCAGACAAGAACGATAGCAGACAGAGCAATAGCAATGAACAAACAGCACTCACCATTTCATCTGTTTGGCCCCCATGCTGCTGTCACAGACTTAACCTCCGCTACATTCACAGAGCCGCATCTGGGTGATGCTCTGCTTCTGAGTCAGGACCATAGCCCAAACACAGCCAGGGGCAGCAGGGAGGGGAGTCTGCACACCGCACACTGTGTTCAATCACAAGTAACAGCATGTTCAAATCCTCTGCAGAAGCATATTCCTAATACAAAAGACTCAAATCCTAATGAAAAGCCATAATGCATACCTCTAAATCATCGCAGGGCTTGGGATCAGCTGGCAGAGGCGGACTCACACAGGGAGACAGAAGGAGGAGGCTGTGCTCAGCGGCTTCTCATTGCTTGCGCCTGGTGGTTCAGCCTCCCTTCACAACACAATGTTTTTTTGTTTCTCCTGGACTCTGAGAGATGCAGCCCTTGTGCATCTTTCACACACCGATCCCCTCCCACCCTTCCCCCGTCTCTCTGTCCTCTGCTTTGGTTGTGGTTTCTTTGTAGCAGCCCTGCTTCTATTCAGCACGCGTGGATGTCAGACATGGTTGTGTCTGGGTAGGTGTCCCCTCCCCCCACAGCTCTCTTCTTTCACACTGAGACTGGGTGGGAAAAAGTCCTTCCTCCGCCCTCTTCTTCAGCTTGAACTGTAATGCGGATAAGTTACATATAATCTACAATTTATGTGTATATATATATATATATATATATATATATATATATATATATATATATATATATTTATATTTATGAAGATATTGGGGAGTAGGTGCTCGTGCTCATAAGCAATAGCTGCAGCCTATGATGTATGCATGTAATGTAAACAAACAATAAAAAGCCCAAATAAACAAAACTAAAAACTATTTATTTATTTATTATTATATTATGTTTTATCTCATAAATTATACCCTGATATATTGCATTACATTTCTAAATTAGCTACATTTTGATATTGGGGCAAGTGTGTAGCAAGAGCTGTAATCATGTCATGTAGTAGTGGTGGTGCGGCTGTGACCCTAACATATGGGCTAATAGGAACATTTGCAAAGGTGCTGGTTGTAGCACTAACATAAGTGAAGGAGAATGTTTCTTTTTTCTTTTTCTTTTTGGGTGAATAATAACTGTCCTTCAACTAGAAAGAACAAGCAGATACTGACTTTAGATCGACATTCTGAAATACAGTACCCTGTTTGCAATACTCAGTAGAATAACAATGACAAATTACAAACAGATTCCACAAATTCACAAAGTTTTACTGAAGGAATGGGTGGATTTTTTTTTTTATTATTATAAATAAAATAGTGACTTTGAGACTGAAAGTAAAGTCATCTCAGAGCTGTGGTGAAGGCAGTCGTTTGGCCCCAGGGACAATGTACTCAGGCAATTTGTAAATCAAATGAGTTGCAAAAGAAAGGCACATTGTTTGTGTAGCCACTGTGGAGTGAGAATGTAAACTGTTTTTGTAGCAGCTCAAAAAGACTTACCCATCCAATTTCTTATTTCAGTGACCTCAAAGAGATATACTTAGAGCAGCACAAGGTGATAAGATTCACCGCTGAGACTCTCATCCATTTTGTTGTCAAATACAATTCAGATACCTCTGCGACTGATATTTGGCTCAAAAGAAGTGAGTCTGACTATTGACACTTTGCATTAGTCACTGTCATTTCTAGATCTATATCATGTGTTACAAACATCTTAATAAAGAGTGATAATGTAAACAAATATAGCAGACTGTAATATTCTTATTACCCTTGTGTCAAATCACTATAATAACTGTTATCTGTTGAAATTACAGCGCAGTAATTCATAAAATTCAAATTTAATCCAAGCATTTAAATAGTCAGTCATCAGCTTAGACCTTTTTCATTGACAATGGCAGTGAGTAAGTGGGACAAGTTTATACTGAATGCTTTTTGTTTACTTTTACTTCACCGCCCAGTCATACACTTAACTTTATTTTCTTACGATAAGTCCTTAGACAACTTAGCCTACACTGCATATCTTATTTATTACTATGCAAAAAATAATAATAATTAAAAGGATTAAGCCTACTTCCTTCCTATGTAAATTGCAAATAACTGACTGAGGCAGATCACGTGCAGCTACTGTTAAAAAGTAAATATACAAAGGTAAACAGAAGCCATAAGAAAAATAGCTATAGACAAAAAGAAGACTTCAAGGTCTCACTTTATAAAGTCAAGATACTTACAATAAGAAGCTTATTACGATGATCCATCTATGGCGATCGACTTCTGAGCCAAGGGGTTCCCACCTCTACTGTTTTCATTATGTAGTGTCTGGACTGTACCTTGTAATAAAGCGAACATGTGTATAACAATGGAGGTCAAATCAATATAGCCCATAACTAAAAGAATTAAAAATAGATATTGGCTTACAACATTAAGAGAACCTCATTATGGCAGCAACACCAAGGGCACAGCTGCTGACCAAGCCATAGAAGAAAATAATTATATTAAGGGTTTAGGGTTAACCCCGAGTGCAAATTAATTAATTAATACTGATATATCGATTTTTATTTTTTTTTTTTGCATATGTATTTGATCGCAGCAGTGTTAAAAAAAAAAGAAAAAGAAAAAGAAAAACAAAAAGGCCACACGTCCAATTATAGTTCAGAAAAGCTAAACGTCATCGTGCGCGACACAACTACGCGTGCACTAAAGGCGGAAGTTGCCGGTGTAATTTTAGGACATGTTTTATTTTTATTTTAATTCTCATATTTAAGGATACATTATTAAGGTATTAAGCCTTCGAAACCTTTCATCAGTCATTGCACATTAGACTGTTTAAGTGTCCTGGCTAGATATTCATAGTTTCGCGTCAATATACAAGCTAATGCGCTAGGCTAACAAATGGTTGTAGTCCATGCACTGCTTTGTACGAGTTTCACCACTAACTCATGCTGTAATACTGGTATCAAAATAAATATTTACTCTTATCTTTTGACATAGCAGCATTGTATATCTTCTCCGGGTAGAAAGATGTCGAGACAGCCGATGGGAAAGACGCTGTTGAGGAACGTGATCCGACACACAGATGCACACAACAAGGTGCGTTTGTTATGGTCTTCTGTTGAAAATACTTTTGAAAAAACTACTGAAAATACTATCTGTGATTTTATTTATACGTCCCAATAACGCAACAAGGTAGTGCCGACCTGTACAACAATAGCCCACAATAAACCTGTAATTTATTTGTAATTAATATGGCATAGTTTTTTTTATTTAATTAATGCAGTTTCTGCTAAAACATTGTGCCTGTTGGTCTAATTGTTACTCAACTTTGACCTTGTATTGCCAGTTTAAAGGTGCACTGTGTAAACTCTGTAATACATATGTCCATGTTGCATTTCATTTTATTAATGAAAACACAAATGAATAATTCTATGTGCTACGATCGTGCACACTTATATGCAATACAGATTACAGGAATAATTGATTAGTAATAAACAGAAACATGCTGTAGTAGCACTTTAAAAGAAATATAAATAGTACTTACTGTTGTTTAACCGCTGCAGATCCAGGAGGAGACGGAAATGTGGAAAATGCGAGAGTGGGAGCTCCAAACGCCTCAACGCAAACATTTGTCAGCAGCTGCCAGTATGAGGTAGGACCTGTGAATGTCCCAGCTTAATTTAAAGCTGCTGAATGTAAGGGCCACATAGTCCAGCTCCTCTGGGTTTTGGTCTTATATTGTAGAAGGACTTGAGAGAGTGATTGGCCTCATCTATCTCTGTGATCCATTCAGTGTTGATGGTTGTTTTCCAGGGGGCATATGCACTGTGATCAAGAGTCTGATCCATCTAGACACATCAGCAGAAGCAGAGTTTCAGAGCATGACGACAGAGAGGCACGATACTGGACTAAACAACTGTATGAGTTTGAAGCTAAGGATCCAGAAAGGTACAACACTGAATCTGCACTTAAGCATTTTAAATAATATAATGTAATAAATCAGGTAATTCATCTCATATAATGTTTTTACAGATGGGGACACAGTGGCTTTAAAGAGCTCTACCCAGAGGAGTTCACTAGTGACAGGTGAAGCAATGTAAATATTTTTTGTCCCAATTATTTATTTAGAAAGTTAATAATGTGCCATTAATAAAATATTCATTCACATTTCTAGCAATTCCAGTGATTCACAGAAAATGGTCAGGACAAAAGTAAAAAAATCCAAATCTGGCAAAGAAGCAAAACCATCAAAGCGTTCCAAAAAATCCTCTCATAAGAAAAAAAAGAAAAAGAAGAAAAAAGGAGAGGAAAGCAAGCGAACAAAAGCTGGATGCCGGAGCAGTGGAAGCGATGACAGTGGAACTGCTAAAGACAGACAGAGAAAAAGGGCCAAAAGTCGACATAAAAACAAGAAAAGTGTGAAAAAATGTAGGGATTCTGACAGCAGCTCAGTGGACAGTGACAGTGAGAAAGAAAAAGAGAGACACTCTTACAGGAGAAAGAAACGCAAGCAAGCTTCTCCCAAACCCTCTGACTCTGAACCAGACTCCAAGAAAAGGAAGAGGAAAGATTGGAGAGCAACAGGAGAGGACAGCTCAGATGGAAGTTCTGGAGACTGAGATATGCAAGTAGCAAGCTCAAAACTACTGCAACCTGTTGTGTAACTCCACAGCACTGAAGATTGTTTCCTGCACACATGTATTGTATTTTGTTAGATATCAACAAACCTGAGCTGTCTGTCTTCTCCATGGGCGTTCTTTGTTGCAATATCTCATCAGCATCACTGTAGCTCAGAGCCCGCAGTACAGCAGTGGAGTCAGCAGGCGGCAGGGCAGAGCCAGTGGGGCGTATACCTCCTGCCTCTAAAGGAAATGGGAAGGCTGCAGGTTCATTCCTTGATCAGTGACTTTCTCTTTGGGATGTTCACCTCTCTGGGAGGCCTTGTATTTCCAACTTGAAAGGTTTTCATGTTTATTGTTGCAATGTAGTTTTTAAATTGTATTATTTTAAAGTCAGTGTGAAACAAAACTATAAAAACATTTTCATTTGATTGATTTAGTTATAAAAAAAAAAAATACTGCAAAGCACAGCCTTATGCCCCCTGTGAGTGGAGCAATGTTAACTCAAAAACAATATGCATTGTAAAAGAAAAAAAAAATCAATGCAGTAAAGTAAAGAATAATGCTTAGTGAGAATGTTAATTTAAACATTTTGAGAGCATGGTTATTAGGGCAAGCTCGTAGGAAAGATTTAAAAACTGATCCCACCTGTCAAAGATCAAATTATGCAATGTATTATGAATAGAAAAAGGACTTCTGCTGTTTAGTTACATCCTGACAAATCCAGTCTGCAGCAGTTCTTTTTGTGATGCAAAGGATACACCTCTATGGAAGCCGCTCCTGATCAAAGTGAATAAATGTAGTGATTTGCAGAATTGCTCCTTGACTACTGCAAAAGAGGGGGCACTCTGTACTTCACTGCTAGAGGAAAGAGCTGTGAACCTTCAGACAGCCTTCCTTCAGTCACATCTTTGGATATATGTCAAAACCATTTCCACCCTTGGACCAGCAGAATATTGTGTTGCTCCAATATGAATGACAATGTTTTATTTGTCACTTGTCTGTGTCTTTCAGTTACATCTGCCAGACGACATTTGTTCTCCTTTTGAAAAAGTAGTAACGCCAAAGAGCGATTGTTTAAACAAACCTGGCAACAAGCAATGTTGGTGCCATCTGGGTTTTTCGATAAAGAAATGTTGCACGAGGAAGCCCACTGGTAAACTATTTGTGTGCTGGAAAAGCCTAAAGCCATTCTCGCAGTCTGTGTCAATAGGCTAAGTGTTTTCTCCGAGTTGCAGAGAGTGGGCTGCATTAAGCTTGGCTGCAACTGGCCATTTTGGAGAGGGAATAAAGAAAGCAATACTTGGGCAGCTAAATCTGTGTTGACATTGGTGTAGAAAACAACTTTAGAGTTAATAAGCATGTAGTAAGTGGGTACCTTAAAGGGAAATGACGTAACATGCTTATTAAGGATGAATTTTAAATGCACAAAAACTGTTGTTCTTTGTTGTTATACTGTTTTATATGACCCCATAACTTGAAATACATATTAAAACAAATTATGTGAATCTTACTGAAAAGAGCCATTATTTTAAAAAAATTAAATAACTACAACTAATAATTGTATTCATAGAAACATTATTTTTGCAGACATAATAAATTTTTCTTTGGAAAAAAAAAGTTTTCTACACACTTCACTACTCATTTTCCCAAACACATTACTTGTTATGCCTTAAATATATAGTGGAATCTCTGTGGAGTGAAAATTTCCCCTTAGTCGTGTCAAAGCAGTTTTTCCCTGCTCCGTCAGAAGTGCTGATGAGACACTACACACTTTGCTCCATTCTAAATGTAAGCTGGTTTTGCTGTCCGGGTCAATCTTTAAGACAGGCTGCGGCCTGAGGCTCCGAGCTAAGCAAATTTAGTTAGTTTGACTGAATAATCCTTACACGATGAAGCACACAGAAATACTTATTATTTTGCTGTAAAATAAAACTTGCACATGTTCCAATTTTGTACCTGCTGTAAATAATGGCAAAAGCACAAACTGACAAGATCGTTTGGGATGATGTTTCTACTGCTGACACTGCTTCAGTAACAACTATGCAACATTTGTGCCAATTATAAATAATATGAGAACATATTTAAAAATAACTGACTAAATTCTATTAAAGGCATCTAAAACACCATAATTTCACTAATGCATAAATAAGATTTTCTGTTTAGTCGTCAAACACTAAGTATTTACTGGAGTGTATTTATACTTTGGCATACATAGAAAAACTGAAATCAGAAAATTTGCTTTTTAACGGGCTAGTGTCAATGTAAATTTTTCAATATATAAAATGTATGAGACATTTGTCAACCAAACGTACTTCAACAGGGGGCTAATACTATTTTTCAAATGCATGCATTGTCTTTGTAGCCCAAGTGACTATGAGTTAGTTATGTCTCCCCCTAGTGGATTGTCCTATAAATTGTACTCCAGCACAGCACCATTTAAATTCAGCATCACATACGGGCTGTCATGTTCCCGGGAGTCCACTCTGCTCCACAGCCGTTGTGCAGCTTTCATAGAAGTGCAAATCTTATAAATAGTGTGCAGCAGGCATCAAATATTTATCATCTGGATTCATGTGTCCCTCTGCTGCAGTGGACTCTCGGCATGGCTGATGTTGAGGTACACTGTAAAAAAAAAAAAAAAAAAAACAGCTTGGAAACACCAGATTCCCACACAAAAATGTTTATTCCCTTTTTCCGAGGGATATAGTATGGCCCAAACCTTGACATACTAAATAGGAAGAGGTGTGATGACACAGGTTTTTAATGTAAAAACTTGCAGCCAACACCCAAATGCTTTGTAAAAAGTCATGTGACATATGACTTACTTACATAGTTAGTACACATACACCAATGTTTTAATATACTTATATATGTATCTTTTGTCTTTTATCTAGACCAGCCAGATACAGTACCCATTATTATACACAATACCTATTCAACATCATACAGTCTGGCCACCATAGAGGAAATTCCAAGTCCATCCTCCCTATGCTAACATTAGAAATGGTCATTTGTAAAATTCAGTTCTTTATCATTATTACTGTTATTTGTATAGACTGGTGGTGATACTTGTCCTTGTATCTCGTGTCTTCTGTGCAAAGTTTTTTTTTTTCTCTTTTTAAAAAGAACCCAAAACATGATTGACATAATACTTTGCCATTCACTTTACATTTATGAAGATGGTGTTTTACTCATTTTTTAAACAATTAATCTTAAACAGTCACATCCAAATATCACACTCCCTTGGCATGTCACAGAAAAATAAAAGTAAAAAATAAATAAAAATCCAAGAAACACTCAAAATGTCAGAGTGCGAGGCAATGAAAGAGAGGAAGGTTTATGAGAGAGCAGCATCCTCCATTCGTACATCTTTTAGAGTAAGGCACTGCTGCATAAAGTAAGGACATGATCGACAGAGCTCTGGGGAATATGACAGGGAGCCAAGATGGAGAAAACAGTTCAGCAATATTTGCCTTGGTAAATGTGCTTGTCTCATGTGCAGTGTACAGGGCTGTGTGCTTCTGTCTGTTTGTACATGTGCATACCACTGTCACACAGGCTACAGGGCTCCTCCCTCACACCGTGCTCTCTAACATCCACTCAGTGCTGCTGAATGTAACTTTCCTGTTTGCGAGAGGGGATGACTCCGTGTTGAGCTGGTTGGTGGAGCGATGCCACCTTGTCCTCGCTCTGCGCGGGTAACTATGACTCTGAAATATGGAGTAATCCCCACCATCAAAGGAAAATCTGTGCCTAGTTCGTGACAGATCATTGGGGAGCAGTCCCATATTGGCCAGAGCACTCTTCTTGTCCTTGAGCCTAGGAGCCTCTTTGGTGCCAGCGTTGGGCCCTATGAGGCACAGAGACATAGTGGAGCCGGTCAGGCTGCTGTCCGTCTGGGTGTCCTCAGAGGGAGGCCCAGAGAAGTGTGCGTCCAGGCTGGTCCTCCTCTTCATGCGTTCTGAGGACAGGGGGGGCAGCTCCACTTCCAGGATGGCAGTGGTGGATGTGGGCTCGTCCTTCTTGTCACTCTCCACGCGTAGGACCAGAGCCATGCATTCTTTGAGCCCCTGGGCCTGCCCCTCATCAGAGGGCTGCTTGGACACTGAGCGCTGCAGCCTCTGTTGGCTGCCGTTGGTTTGGGAGTGCATGCTGGAGCTGCACTTGCTCTTGTTGTCGTCTGGGCTGCTGTAGGCCTTGTAGCGTATCATCAGGATGATAATAAACACTAGCACTGAAGCCACAATGATCCCTCCTATAATGATGATCATAGTTCCTCCCAGGAACTGGCTGTGCATGAAGCGGCACTGGCTGACCTCGTTGAGTGTGTGAAACTGCACACAGCCCACTACTCGTGTTGCTGTTAGCGACGTGGTGCCATCATCATAAACTGCCAGGACGCACAGGTCATACTCGCGCCCCGCTGCCAGGTCATTGATCAGGAAGTTCTTATTGGTTGAGGGTATCATCCTGCAAAGAAACACAATACGGTGATGTAGACAATTAGTCATGTGCGCTCCTGTTCAACAATTTGCATATGGTGTATTAAATCACACTATGGTGTCTGTTTCCCACAACAAAACACAAGAGCCATCTCCATCTCCTCAACGTAACATTAGATATCAGTCACTGTGGTAGGCAGACATAAAGGGCCTAACACTTCATTAGAGCTGAGTGATGGGAGAGCGGGTCACTTCACATTATGCTAGTAAAAAGGCCTCAATGGATTTGTGTATAAAATGACAACAAAGGTAAACTATGAGGTGATAAACAGGGAAGACATGGCTCAGTGACTACACAATATTCCACAAAAGCTGCAGGCCCTTGGACGAGTGACGCATGACGCTCAGACACTGAGTACCTGAGGTTACGGTTGTCTACAGTGAAAAGGATTAGATGGCTCGGCACAGAAGACCAGGCACTGGCTTCGGGTCACTATGACATTAATATAATTAGAGCCGTGTTGCTTCTCCCTAAAGGCCCTTCATAGTTATCATTTGTAGGTAATAATGTACCACCTAAAGACACGGCCGCCTCTGCTTCATGGCTAAACAGGATGATAAAATTATACAGAAGAGTGACTCATTATATCAGAGAAAAAAGGGACAAAATGGCTTATAATTATTTATTCTAACATGGCTCTTTTGTATGAACAAGATACAACTGATTTTCTTTTTTTAAATGTAGGGTTGAAAGATTAAAAGACATTTTTGTCTGATCTAAAACTATACAAAAACAATGTCATTAATCAATATTTATTTAAACCATTCTCTACTCTCCAACATTTTATTACAGTTATGTATTTATAATCATTATTTAATGAAGACTTAAATGTTTTCATAATAACTTGTGTATAGTATTTGATGACAGCAGAAATGTGATTTATAACCATCCTTCATCTTTGCTGCTTGTCATGCTTTTGTACCACCACTGTGGCATTAAGCAGATGGCAGCTCCAGATGTCTCCCTTTCTCTGTGTGCCCTCTTTAAGACCCTCCCTCCCTGTGCCCCCTGTACCTGTACACCAGAGTTTCGTCCGCCGAGCTGTTGTACTGGATCTGGTACATGCGGATGCCGGGGATGTGACGTTCCGAAGGCCAGCGGATAACTGCTGAGGAGGAGGTCAGCTCAGACACCATGACTCTCCTGTCCTGCTTGTCATAGCCCTTGGTGTCATTGCCAGATTTGGTGGAGATGGTGATGTCAGAGAGGCCAGGGTCTTCCCTCATGTGGGCCGTGTTGTTAACAAACAGAGGAAGGGGGATCATATTGATCTCAACAGCAGCTGTGGCGATGCCTGCGGCATTTGATGCCACACAGTTAAATGCTCCACTATCCTTCAGAGTGGTGATGAGAATATCAAGGGTTCCATTATCATAAAGAATAGTACGAGAGTTATTGTGCACCAGCTTCCCATCTGGAGAGCGCCAGTGGATCTCTGGGTCTGGATCTCCCACTGCTTTACATTTCAGAGTCACTCCCTGCCCCTCCATTACAAAGGGCTTTGTGGAAACATGTTTGGTGATGAGAGGAGGCTCACAGATAAACTCCTCCTCCTGTATGGACCAGAAGTACTTGTCCATGAGGTGCTCTGGGGAGGCACAGGTCTCTAGATCGTCCTCTCTGGTCAGCCTGCGCAGCCACAGTAGCTCACAGTTGCAGTGCAGAGGGTTTCCTCCAAAACTCACAGCCAAAGTGGAGGAGCTGGAGCCTTTAGCGTCGGACAGGACCTGGGCATGTTGAAACAGACTGTCAGGGGGCAGCTTCTGCAGCCTGTTGGAGGTCATGTCCAAACGCACCAGTTTGGTCAGCAGTGTAAAGGTCCCCACACCGATGTGGTCGATCAGGTTATGGTCTAGTGTGAGAGTGTTGATGTTAATCATTCGGCCTATGGCCTCCCAGGGCAGGCTGCGCAGGTTGTTATTGGACAGATCTAAGTCCTCTATAGTGGACACAAACTCATCAAATGAATTAGGATCCACCTCATGAATCTGATTGTTCCCCA